ATTCTTGTTTCCAGGGCAACAGCTCGGACAGTCCGGTGCCCTCCACCTCGGAGTCCAGCACGCCCAGCGGCCGACGGCCTTCGTCACAGACCCCGACCCGCTCTCGCCCTCACATCTCCTACTCCCCGCTCGTGTGTCGCACGCAGGCCTCGGTCGGCGAGGACGACGAGGACGAGCAGGGAAGCCCGGAGACCGTGAGGCGGGGCAAGCCGGCGTGGGAGACCGAAGAGGGGGGCTCGGGGGAGAGGCGGGGCGAGGCCAGCCGACACCCGTCCCCACCTCGACGCTACCCCTCGGAGCCTTTCCTGGCTTCACAGGAGGACGACCACAGCCCAGACCCCTCTGGTCCCATGGAGACGCTGACCTTCGAGGCGGCTGTGGCCTGCAGCCTGGGACGCTCGAACACCATCAGCTCGGCCCGCCCGCGCTTTCGGACTGGCTGGCAGGTCCCCAACGGACACTTTCGGAAGCGTCTGGCGCAGACAACCTCAGTCCCAGGCTGTGACCCTCTGAGCGACACAGAGGAGGACGACAGGTGCTAGAACAGGAGGCGCAGCGTGGGGGAGGAGGAGAGGCCCAGAGAGGTGTCGGAGGCTGCTACACTGCAGCGTACAGAGTGAAGGTTAATGTGACTCTGTTTGCATCAGTGCTTCGAGGCCGTGAGCCCTCTGGATATTTGGTAAAATGTGAACCCAAAATGACAATGAACAATCCTTCCTGAAACTGTAGTTGCCAATTCACACAGAACACTGACAATAAATAAGGTCTATTTCCTGACTTGTACTTGATCAAAGAGAGTAATAATACATCTCAGATAGTGGCAGGATACAGAAAACACATGAAATGAATGGATCAAATTATGTCATTTGTGTTAATAGGTATTTTCATTTCTGAAGATGTTTCTAAATGATTCAGTGTTGCTCTAAACAGTATTTATCTGTGGGGTGTGAATATGTAACTACATTTTCTTATAAATTAATTGTTTTGTAAATACGTTGTGATCATCACACCATCGCCATTTATTTGAAAAGATCAACACAAACAAGCCATCGCGAAGAGGCGATCTGATCCTTTACCAGACAATGTGGATACTAATAAGTAACACTCAATAATGCTGGATTTTTTTACAGTATGAATGAATGTGCAGGGGAAAAACTGCCTGATTTCCCCCCTTATTTTTCTTTTTGGTATTGAACTTAATAAGTTGTGAGATATGAGCACAGTTATAGACTAACATAGAAAAGATGCTTACTTGTTATTTCACCATACATTCATGTGACATCATGCCTCCACCAAACCTCGGGATCTCTTAATTTTTACTTTTATTTTTCACCGGTCTGAACCCTTTAAACGAGAAATCGCCCAACAATTATATTTCACGTTTGAGTTTGAGCAAAGTCGGGCATGTAATTTTACCGTCAACTGATATGAAAACAAAATGATCTTTCATCTGTTTTCACTTTCTTTCTTCCTTGTGAATATTGTGCGAACCATCGCGGACGATGACTGTAGAGAAACTGCAGACACACCATGACACATTTTGCTTCGAAGATCAACATTACTCTATTACTTACTAATAATGTACAGAGAAATTATGCTGTTTGTAACATTTAGAGAGAGAGAGAGAAAAAAAAATAAACAGTATCAGCTGATGAGCTTTAAATGAATCCTTGGAAATGTTCATTTTAAGGTTTGTGTATTTGTTTTATTTGCCTGAAGATGGCCAATTCTGTGAAACTCACTTAACCAAAAACATGGAGATTTGTATCATAAATTCCTGGAATGCAAATACTTTGTGGGTTTTTATGTGTACAATAGCTGTATATACAAATAAAGGTGTCCTCAAGTTGCCACTGTTATTGGATGTCTTTTTTTTTATTGTTCGTTTTATAGATAAGTGACACCTTGAAGCTCTGAATTCTGTAAACCGGACACCAGTGAGTGCGTCTGGAAACTGTTTCTCCCACTGTAGTGCATGCACATATTGTCAGAGCTGCTCAATAATGGATTTTCTCTCAGACATTTTCCCTTTTTCCTTTTTTTCCCCTCTGTATACATATTATTATTATTATTGGAGGAGCCTGTAAAGAGAACAGTGGAATAAAGGATCATATAAGCATGTAGGTCTTTAACTTTAGTAAAAGTACCAGCGCAAACACTTTAAATAAAGAAATATCATCAGTAAATTCTACTTAAAGAATCAAAAGCATAAGTACTTAGTCCACAAAAGTTGCTCCACTAATACGAATGCATCGGTGTGAGAGTTGTAGCTGCTGTAGAGGTTTAACTACTTTGGGGTTTGACGTCTCTAAAGGATCCTAGAATAGATGTGAGTGGTCATGTGATGGTTAATAGAAGAGGAAATGAGAAAGTTTTGCTTGTTTTGTGTAACTGTGTTGCTTTTGTGTCGTGTTGAATATCTTCTTTGCATCAAATAGTTCAAATGCTAAGAAGTTTAAATGGGAAAAAAAAGCATCTCATGCCAAAAAGGTTTATTAGTTTGGTGTGCAGGACTTTTTCACTGAAGTTATTTTAACACGTCTTTGCAGTAAAAGCACAGATTCAGTAAAGTAAGTAAATAGAAGATGAATCATGCCTGGGTATCATCTAGGTTTGGTTTCAGGGGCCTGGTTGTGCAGATTAGCTCGCTGTCACGCCGTAATGTCTTTAGTAAAGAGAAGAAGTGCAGAAAGATAGCTTAATCATAAATATTGTTTTAAACTAACGACATAAAATATAATTCAAAACAAAGGACAGTCACTGTGTAGTCGAGATGCATCGGATTCAAAGCACATTATTACAGTTGCTCGTAGTGCTGAAGCTGACGTTTGTTTTCTGACAAAAATGTTGAAAATCAAGTTCAGATCAAGACAGAATTAGTGGCAGGATTTTAAAATGTATTCATATTTTCAATGAACTAAAGTATTTTTGTGAAGTAGGACACTAAACTATTAATATTTTACTGCTATTCCATTGTAAAAACAAATTTAAAGAAAGTCATCATTATTTGTTTTGCAAATTTGAACATTTGAGTAGCTGTTCCAAGATTCAAGAACTTTATTGCCATATGTACACGCACACACAGTTCAGTAGGAATTTTTTGTGCAGGGCTAAAGAAGGAGGCGGGGGTGAGAAATACAAGCAAAATGAAAATATAATCAAAATACCAAACGCATACATATACAGTATATACACAGGGTTAACATTTATATACACATAGAAGAAAAATAAGATTATTGTTAAGATTTGCCTCCTTAATTGTGGCAAAGACCCCCACAGTGGGTGAAATCCAACAAATTCCCTGCATTTGCCAACATAAAGTTGTGTTTTTAATTAGTGTTATATGTGTGATATATATTGCTTTGTGTTTTATATGCCTATACATATATGCATATATATAGAGAGAGCATAGTGATAACAGATAATACTAATGAAGTAAAAAAGATAGGGAATTTAGGAAATCATGTAGATAAAAAGCATTTAGAAATGATTGTAAATCATCATTTCTGTGTTATTTTTATCAGAGAAAGGGGCGGGACTTCGGCGCTCTCTTGGGCTTGCGTAAAGAAAATCGTCCAATCAGCGCGCAGAATTACACCATTACGTCATATCCAACGGACCGATAACATGTCCTCCGGTTGAAGAAAGAGCTAGCAAGGAAGCAAACTGTTTAATGTTCCTCACGAAGTTGAAAGGCGGAAATGTCTCTGCAATTCAACGCCAAGACAGCTCAGTGGTGCAGCCAAAGTTTCAGCTGAAGTAGATATTTCGTAGAAATCGCTGGTCTTACAAAGGAATGAGCGATACTCATCAAGGAAGTCGCCCAGCTGGCTAGCGAAAAAGTAGCTAGCTAGGCTGCTAGCCGTCGTTAGCAAGGGAGTTCTTTGTTTTGCTTTTCAGGTGGAGGTCCGTGTTGTCATGAAGCCAAACTAGTGTGGACGCCAACACTAACATTTGACGCTTAAGTAGGAGTTTTATGATCATGTCAAGCGTATCTTTGACGGTAGGCATCTGAACAGTTAATCAGTAGTTTCTGGGGTATTAGAAACACAAACTAAACATTAGCCACCGAGAGCAACTTTAGCAACAAAGATCTGATTTTTTTTTTGACGTCGGCTCGGGAAAGGACTGGAGACACGAAGATATGGGCAACTGTCTCAAGTCTCCGACATCAGACGACATTTCTCTGCTTCATGAATCCCAGTCAGACAGGGCGAGTTTCGGTGACGGGACAGATCCAGACCTGGAGCCACCTCCGCCGTACCAGGTGACAGGCTGCTAACACTCCACTCAGAGCTCATTATTTGAAGAAAGAAAAGTTAATGGCACACAAATGGACATACGATCGCGAGATTAGTGTCTGTTAATAGTCTAAATGCTAACATGCTGTGTGTAGTGTTCTTAAAAATGTGCCTGGACGGTGTGATTTCCAGACTGTTTCAGTGTGATCATGTCTGTGGCCTAATCAGAAGTAGTCCAGCATAATCAGCATTACACCTGAATAAACACACAGCTTTCAGGCCGATGTCTCTAAGTGGCCTGTCAAGAATATCCAGACCAGACAGCTGCTGTATTTTTCCAGTTAATCCCGCAGAGCCCGATCAGTCAGACCACTCTGTGATGACAGAGTGAGCTGGCACAGGAGGATGACTGTATTGTTTCATCTTGGTGTTTCTTTGTCTGTTACCAGGAGCAGGCTCACATGCCCATGTACCATCCCACGCCTAGTCAGGCCCGTCTGGCCACCCAGCTGACAGAGGAGGAGCAGATCCGCATAGCTCAGCGCATCGGCCTCATCCAGCACCTCCCTAAGGGTGTTTATGACGGAGGGCAGGATGGCTCCGAGAAAAAGATCCGAGAGTGAGCTTTTTTTCTTTTTTGCATGCAATACCTTTTACACCTACCGAGGTTGCATGGGGAACATTAATTCAGATATCATAGTTTTGTATTTAAAAAAAATCCCCCTCTCCAATCAAAAACATGGTGTTTTTATATAAGACACATCATATGTTAAAAAAGAGGTCAACATCACGGCTGAGCATTTCTGTGACTTTCCGTAACAGTTCGCTTCAAGCATGTACGGTCGAACAAATCCAACTCCACAGCTTGTCATTGTGTAGTGCAGAGTAGTCGTACAGTGTTTGGGCAGAGTTTCAGGTAAGCTGATGTGCTGGAGCTGTGGAGACATCATAGATCCACATGTTCCAAAGAAGAACAACAGTGTAGAATCACATCAAAGACATGAAGGGAATTATTTTCACGGGAGAAAAACAATGTTAATATGGGGATTGTTACCACTGTTTGACCTCAGGTAGTAATGCATGATGTGATCTTTCTGAGAAGCAAGTCATTAGTAATAAACACAGTTTTTATTCCACTGCCATAAATCTACTGAGCAGCTGAGCCATTCTCAGCCATAGCACTGCAGACTGCTGCTGCACTGCTATTCTGACCCCTTTACATGTATTGTTTCTGCTCAGATGTGTAAAATTCTTGTATATATTTGTTATTTTATTTTTTTCTTTCTATAGTTATTTTACTTTATTTTTTATTTTCCTAGGGTGACACCAACAGCCAAAACCTGAATTCCTTGTATGTTGTGTTTGTACTTGGCCATTAGAGCTGATTCTGGTTCTGATGGCCAAGCACCAGAGGGTTTTGAGGTGCAACCGAATTATTTTGCTGTTGCTGAAACAGCTCGTTATTAGTTGATTAGCTCATCGACAGAAAAGCTTCTCAAAGGTTACATTTTGTCACAATTCCTGTGTGATATATGATCATAAATCAAATATATTTAAGTTTGAGCTGTTGGTCAAACAGAACCAATCAGAGGACGTCCCCTCTGGCCCTGTGAGCTGCTGGTGGTCGTTTTTGAACTGAAATTTTCAGACATTTTGCAGGTGAAACAAAAGGTAATTTAAATAACTGGTAATTGCATCTTATTCTAAATTGCATCCCCGTTATCATTAAAGTGATTTGAAATCTGGATATGAGCTCCAATTATCTATTTATTTAGCAAGAGGGATGAAAGAAGTTAAACACTTAAAAAAAAAAAGAAAAAGGACTTTCTATGTAAAGTGTGAACATGCTGTTGTAACTTCCACTGATAGATGGAGAAAAACAGCAAAAACTAATTTGCTTAATTGACTTAATCAATTCTGTTAGATGATTTATTGATTATCAGAATTGCTGCCAACTGATTTTCTGTCTTCTACATTCATGGGTGAATATTTTCACTTTTACTGCAGCCATTTAAAAGCCCTGAGAGCTGTAAAGTGACATAAAAATGTTACGGTAATGTGTACATTCCTCAGTGTTTTATTTATTTCTGTTGTTTCCAGATGCGTGATCTGTATGCTGGACTTTGTTTACGGGGACCCCATCCGGTTCCTGCCGTGTATGCACATCTATCACATGGACTGTATAGACGACTGGCTGATGAGATCCTTCATCTGCCCCTCCTGCATGGAGCCTGTGGATGCTGCCCTGCTCTCCACCTACGAGACCAACTGATCCTCCCCCCCACCCCCTTCTCCCCCATGCTTAGATCAAACCCGATCCCCTCCAGTCCCAAAACCTAACAGCTGCCCTCTTGTAGAGTGAGAGGAGCTGACAAACCTGTTGGCTGTTGTCTTGCACTTTGAAAAATTTTCAAACTTCACTCACCTAACGTTGGCCTTTCATGCCCCACCCTTCCCCCCCTCCCCCCAGGTCTGATGCTGAGGAAGCTGGTCTTAAACATCAGTTACACAAGTCAGTAAGAAAACTGTTTCCCCACGACTTTGCATGATTGTGTTTGTATGTGTTCGTCATGCTGAGTCGGTGTCCAGCGTTGCCACTAAACAGTGAGCACGTGGAGGTCCGTGTGTGTGTGTGTGTGTGTGTGTGTGTGTGAGAGAGAGAGAGAGAGAGAGAGCTGTTTGGCGACTTTCCACTCGAGCTGGTCTCAGTGGCGTTTTCTCCTCAGCTGACTCCAGTTCACCTTCATTCCCAGCTGATGACGAGTTAAATGGACAATTAGATTAACAAATTATTGACCAACGCCGAGAGGTGTTGCTGGATATGTTTGATCAAATTAGTGGTTTCCTGTGGCCACATTAAGCGAAGCCTTTGGAACATATTGATCTTCTAAACATGCTCTCACATGAAGAAAAAAAAAAAAAGGCCCAACACTTTGAAAATATGGAAATACACGGCTGATGTTTACACTGTTGGTGTATGAGACAACCGTCTATTGCTTTACAGTTAGGCAAGATTACACAAAAAAAAAAAATATGCACACACTTTACAGAAATCACCCAAAGTATACGAGTATGCAGTGTTGACCTTTATGGAGATCAAAACTACACAATGTTTGTCTGTGGCCACTGCTTTAAAAATGGTCCGACATGTAAAAATGTGTTGAGGTGAAGGGTTAAAAAAAAAAAAAAGAAAAAAAGATGTTTGTAACGTGAATGTTTCCCCAGACGATGTGTAAAGTAGCTGACAGCCAATGTAAAGGGCTCATTGGTGCATGGGCAGGTGGATCAGTCGGTCAGAAATTAGAGACGCTTGCACACACTTTTCATCTGATCCAGAGATTTGCACTTTACTTATAGGACAGTATCTAAAACAATATATTAATATATGTACCTTATAACCTTGCACTATCAAGACTTCATTCCTTTATCTCCTGAGATGCAAAAGCTATATAGCTGATAAAGATATTTTCAGAGCTGTCAGTAGTCACTTATCACGTTGAAGTAAGCCTGAAGACGCATTTCATGAAATCTGTGGTTCAATAGTGTGAGAATTCGCTTTGTTTTGCGATTTTGATTGTTCTTTGATTTTTGATTCTTGTGTGTAAGTGAAGGGACAGAGGCTTGCTGAAGTTTAAAGGAATGCTTTGACATTTTAGGACGTTTGGCTCGGTCCCTTCCTTGTCGAGAGCTGACTGTTCAGAATTGATCGCGTCTGTAGACCTTGAGACAGTTAGCTTAGCATTGGGGCTGATGCTGCGGATAAAAAGCTACACCGGGTCTCTTCTGAAGCTCAAAAACCTTACTTGTGTTTTTTTAGGGAGTTTAAAAAAAAAAAAAAGAAATCATGATTTTTATATTTCTTTCCATGCACAGATCACATTCACAAATAAGATATAACTTGTTCCATCCATCAATCAATCAGCTGTACCCGCTTTGTCCTATAGAGGCTCGCGGGTGTTGGATCTTATCCCAGGTAATATTAAATGAAAGGTTGGGTACACCTTGACAAAATGTCTATCTGTCACAGAGCTGATATAATATATTGCTTCATAAATTTAATAAGTGCTGGTTGGCCAGTTTTTGAGCTTTGGACAGAGCCAGGCCTTCCGTCTTTATGCTACGTTAAGCTAATTGCTTCCCTGGTCCGACTTCATACTTTGCATCGACAGTTATATCAGTCTTTATCTCCTGGCAAGAGAGCAAATAATGTTGAAATATTCCTTTAATGAAATTAAAGTCTAGGTTTGCAGTGAAGCTGTTTAATTGTAAATGGACATCAAAGTGCAGTTTGGCTTCCTCCACGCCTATCTATACATGACATCATGTTTTTGTGTTTTACGACACTAAACTTAACGTGTTTATTTTTATTTCCAGTCACCGTAGCAGTAGTTAGAGTCATCGCTTTCCTTTTGAATCGTGGCATTGTTTGGTGATGGTGGTGTTGGTGTCTTCTTCAGTTACCCGTGTTTTACTTTCACATGTTTTGTTACAACTTTGTAAAAAAAAAAAAGGAAAGAAAAAAAGAAATCCACTGCGTATTTAGGACATAAAGTATATAAATATTACACTGGTTTCAGTCTGACTGTGCAAACCTCTGTCCCAGCTGAATTTCAAAGTGTGAGAGACTTCTCTTCTGGTGTGACAGTCAAAAGTGAGATATTATTGTTCTCCACTGAGCTTTCCTTTGCTGTGTTTTTCAATTTGAGTTTATTCTGATCATTAATATTTCCTGTAATCTTGTTTTACTTCTTTCTTTTTGGAAGGCTGAGAAGCCCTCGTGTATAAAAAATAAAAAATAAAAAAATACAAATAAAGAAGAGGAAAAAAAAACTGTTGGATTTGTTTAATTAAAGTAATCAAAATACAGACACCTCCCCACGTGAAAGATCAGCGAGTGAAGCGGGATAAACGCGTGCTAAGGGGCAGATTTGTGGCTGCGTGATTACCAAAATGAGAGATTACGGAATACACAAAATATTCCTTTGAGCCTTTCATTAGTGCAATCCTAAAATCTGGCAGCGGAGTGGAAAACGTGACTACATAATCAGGGTTCTTCTTTCTGACTGGTGCAGCGAGTGAGCTCAGTCCGTATTGGTAACGGTTAATGTTTGTTTTCCTCTGCTTGCATCAGCTGCGGAGGAAACAGTCCAGTTCCCTGTTTTTTTTTTTTATTATGTGCATTGTTGTCCGAGGTTGGAGTTACAACGACCAAAAGGTACATCCTCGTCTTATATAAACTGAAATGTGGCGTCTGAGGGGTCGTGACATTGTATACGAGGGCCATAAATCCACTTTAATCCACTGAAAAAGAATAATTGATTGCAACATGCCCTTTCTTTCTTTCTTTCCTCAGATTAGGCACTAACACAGTTAATCAGCTTTGCGGTGCTGCAAGATCCGCATGCTTTCGCTTTTTAGATTAGATTTAGACAACTTTGAGCAACACAATAAAGAAGGACGTGGAAAGGTCACCCGTTGAAATGCGACCATAATGAGATTTTGTGTGGCAACATATTAAATCTCTGCAAATATCTGGAGAATTTAGGCTGAAGGATTAATTGGGCCGGTTGTATTTGCTTTAATGTCAGTCGGCGGCGGCGGCGGCGGCGGCGCATCGTTTATCAAGAGTAATACTCGCTTGTTATAGGAGAGCACTACAAACGCAACAGGATACAACCCCGTCAAAATACCACAAGATCCTTTTGTCTCACGAGGCGGCCCTGGAGGGAATTCAACGTGGTGTTCAAAAAATATTACAGCTATTCAGTATCTCAGATGAAGGTCAGGACCACTTGTCAGGCCACTCGGCTGCAAGTAGCAAACAAACGCACCGTAGATCAATACCAAACAGGAGAGCGCATTAATATTGATAGATTTACTTTTGCAACCATGTGTGTGAAACCTCATGGGAACAAATCCATTTTATCCAATTCGGGTTTCGACGTTCTCTTATAGTATCGTGGCTCAGACGGAACCCAACGACTGCAAATGACGACATGCAATGATTTTTTTTTTGTCAACAAAAAAGCCTTTATTTTCCTGACACTAACAAACTTTTTTTTGTTTTTATTTTTTACCGTTGTAGTGGCAATTGATAAGCAAGAAGTGGTTGATTATTGTTGATACCCTCGAAGATGCATGATTACGGTTTGTACATCCCGTGGAAGGTGACAGGAATGGAGCACTCCACTTCCGCCCTGGCGACCTCAGACAGATCCTTGGCGTTGAGGATGAGGAGATACGCAGGTCTCTGGGAACCGGGAACTGCCACGATGGTGAGCAGGACTCCTGTGAGAACAGCAGGCACCGGCCTCGTTTAGCAATTAAACTGATGATTTGAGTGAATTACAACTAGTTTTAACTGAAGCGCTTCCCGTTATTCTACTTCATCTGCTGCTGCCTTACCGTCATCCTCATCCACCGCCTCCGGAGTCTGAACAAACAGGGGCTCTGAAGGGTAGGAGTCGGGCTCCTGCCATACCCAGGTCTCCTTGGTCTTCACGTTCAACTTGCAGATCTGTGCACAAGTTAGAGAGAAAAAAAATCAGCTAAAGAGCCCGTTCTCCTACACTCTCAACCTAACATCAGGTGTTTAACAATCGTACCCTGTCTGGTATGAAATGGTTGAGACCGAGGCCGTAGGCGTAGGTGTAGTTCTTCCCTCCGTACCTCTCGTAGTTAATCTGAGGAAACTCAAAGGCTGCAAAACCCCAACAAAAATACATGATTACACATTGAAGATCCTTCTAGCAGCCGTTTAAAACATCATGTGTCCTGATGGGTGTGCTGGCACCTTGGCGGGGTCCAGAGAACAGCACCTCGGGCTCCAGCCAGATCATCCCGTCGGCGTGCATGGTGGCTGTAGCGGTGGTGTACGGAAGGCTCACAAGGTTCTTCCCCTGCTCCTCCTGCATCAACACATGAGATGAGACTTCACAAATGTAGCATCTGTAGGTGGAATTTCGTGTCGCTCCGATGAGGCCGACCGGTGGCTCACCTTGTGGATGTCCAAGGGAATGACGTATCGGCGCACCTCCGGTTGGGGCGCCATCATGGCCGCCTTCTTCACCTCGTCCCAGTTGGCTCTCAGGTTGGCCAACCACAGATAGTTGTACACAAACTCAAAACTGCAGAAGAGAACAATAATGAATAACAATATCTCTGAATCCCACAAAGAGGCAAACGATAAATGAAGATGTAACTCTTCGGTTACCCTTTCCATGCACACAGGTCGACGACAACGAATCCTTGGTCCTCATAGGTGTTGATGTGGTGGAACATGCCAATGGGTGCTCCTTTGAACTTGTGATCGATGTACTCGCCTGGGTCTTTCCTGGCAATGTGGAACAAGGTCTGGAAACAGTGCACCAAAATAGATGAGTTTTTATGCAGGAGAGGTGCCAGCGTGTGAGTTTAGTGAATGTTTTAGGAATCTACTCCAAGTTCTTACTCCCTGGCTCTCATTGGACTCGAAGCAGTCCATGTAGTTGGAGCCGCGGATGCTCCAGGCGCTCAGGAACTTCAGCAGGTTGATTTTCACTGGAGTCTCCACGAAGACAAAGTAGTTCTCCGACATGCCGAAGCTGACGTTCATGAGAAGAGAATGTGAAAATGTCTACTTCATGCACGAACACTGATGAGAAGCTGAACCAGATCAAATCACACACACCTGTGCACGTAGGAGGGCTTGAACCTCTCGTGGCTGGGGAACTGCACCACCACCTTGGACTTCTCAATGGGATCAGATTTATCTAAGAAAGAAAGGGGAGGATGTTTGTGCTACACATACACATTATTTAAATCTTTTTTTGTTTCCCTTATGCAGCTTTAAGGTTATAAAATCCTCACTGTCTGACAGCATCATCTTGCTCCAGTTCTTCTGTAAATCTATGGATGTTTACACTGAGAGAAATATTCAAACACGAGCTTCAGTGCAGAGCAACTCTTCTCCTGTGATGAGAAATTTATATTTGTGCACTTCAGCCTTTTTTTTCTGTCGCATTTTGATTCAAACCACAGACTGTATTTTTTATGAAAGCAAGTTCTCCAGATGTAAATATTTTAGCTCGAGCATCGTTTTACATCAGCACATTCAGCCTGACGTATTTGGCGTCTGTGTAAATCTGCACTAGGTGCGATTTTTGGACATCAGGCCATGCCAGCGTGTTATGAAATTTCAACCCCAATTTACCAGCTTATTTCTAGTGTAAACTGAGTTTAAGGAGAGGCCGCTGCTGCACAAGTGTCTCTTTGTGTTAGTGTTTCATGCGGCGCTGATCCGAACCTTTCTGTGTGGGTGGGATGCGGACAATGTTGTAGGCCAGTGTTGCTCCTTTTCCCATGCAGTTTCCAATATTATACACAGTACCATCTCTCTCAATGTGAGGGTGGGCTGTCACTCCGTTAATATTGATGTAGTTGCACATATCGACCTGCAAAGAAGATAAAAAAGCATTTTACTGAGCAAACGGTGACATTCAGAGCTTACAAGTGTTAAGGTCTCCGCTTGAGTTCTGCTAAATGTATTGATGTACCTTCTTCAGTGTCTCCAGAGTATCAGTGTTTACTTTAGTGATGTAGTTGGTTTCTGTTACGGCATAGAAATCCTCACCAACGGGGTAGACGTTCACCAGGCAGTTGTCTGTGACCTCAACACCTTTGAAGTAAGAGAAAAACCTGCAAACAGAAAGAAAAAAAAAAAGGAAAAGATTGAAGCCTATTCAGCAGTGTTACAAAAAAAGGAGCTTAGAGGAAAATACTGCATTGATTTTCCTACTTTTATACACTTTCATTCTACAGTGAAAAGCATCCAGATCACAGTGAGAAAGACTGTGCTTATGCAACCGACCTGGAGAAGATATTTTTGCAGGGATCAGGGTACGCAAATGTACCAAACTCAGTGATCACCACACGCTTCTCTGTAATGGCTCGCACATAAGCGTCTGTCCTGACGAACCTAAATGGAGGAAAGAATGATGAAGCATTTCATACCAAAAGCAAAAGATTTCACTAAAATTCATTGTTCACTACCCTTAAAACTTGTATGATTCATGTGTTTGCAGCTGCATTTCATTCAAAAGTGTTTAATCTCTATGAATCCAAATCTAAAACTAGAACTCAGCTTTGACATGAGAAATGCTGCAAGAAATTTTAACTCACAATTGAATGTAAAATTTAAAACATGGTGCTGATTAAGATAAAATTCACAGTGTTAATGCATTTGTACTGTATGTGCAGCTTCATTAGAAAAGTCACACATTTACTGTGCCCCAATAACAGAGATCTGAAGCTCACATAGTTTCAATTCTCTACATATTTCTTTGAAGTCTTACTTTCGGAAGTAGGTGACTTGTCCGTTCTTGAAGTCGAACTTGTGCATGAGGGCCTGACCATCGAAGAGGTGGTAGAAGGGTTCATCTCCAACCTCAAACAGTCCCGGTCCCAAACGGAGAAGACTTCCCTTCAGAAATGAAGGAATCCTGCCTGCAGAATAAACAGCAATCGAGGAGTTTTTAATGTATCGGGTTGTAAAGGTGCATTATCAAAAGAACACAAAAAGATAAGAGACTGTCTTCAATCTGAAAGATGCAAACAAACCTGTGACTGTTGCTGGAAGAGCCTCAGCCAGCTCCTCAGCTGTCTCAAAAATCTTCCTGTAGCCACCAGCTGGGTGTTCAAATCTGGCATGAAAAAGTAAACATCTCAGCATACATTGCAGCTAAGTCAATTAAGGTTGATGATTTGTTTTTTCCCCCCAGCAAGTTAAATGTATGTCTGTTAGTTTAAGTAGCTGCATTTCTAACAGGTCATGCAGTTCACAGCATAGCAGTCAGCTTTTAAATCTCACAGCGGCTTAACCTGCTGCTGACACACTAACTCCAGCCACTGTGCAAAAGTTACAGGATCAAGTTAAACAAATGTGCACATATGAGCTGGATAAGACATTTCCAAAATTTATTTTAAAAAAAACAAACTTCCCGACTTGTTGCCGTTATGCTACTCATAAATACATGAGTTAGAAACGTACCTGCTGGCCATGGTTCTTCCTTGTAATGGCAACACACAATGCAAACTCTCCGGTCACTTCTGAACTGGAAGCCTCTGACTCTCCCAGTGGATTTGGGGTATTTATTCGTCTGGTCCTCCTCACCGTGACCACAGTCTGCGCTGTAAATCTCCCCCCTGGCCAATCATGTCACACCGTGAACAAGAATCCCATTGTGCCAATATCCTCTGCTTGGTGACCCAATGGCTACCCTTCTGAAACCGGATTTATTGCAGAGAATATGTATTGCAGAGAACCACGCTTGGCAAAAGTGTCGCAAGAGCACATGTGATTTCTTTATTTTCAATTGTGTCGACTGTTTGGATGTTTGCGTCAAGTCACACTAAGTGCTCCATATATTTCAGCACTGATGCAACATATAAAGCCACAGAAGAACAGGATTTAAATGAACAGAAAGTGATTTAGAATCTGTGGGTTCTACAATACACACGTGTGTCTTGGTTACATGTGTGTGAATGTCACAAACTTTTTTAAAAAATAGAAATAGTCATTAGTATGAGTGCTAAATTGATTTTTAAAGGAAGATACTAGGCCCCTATTTTAAATTAAATGATGGGTTTCTGGCATAATGCAGAACTAGAACGGAGCTAATAATAACATCTGTTGCAAAACAACAGCAACTGAACTGCTAATATTAGGTGATGTTGCACAATGACTACGACACATGATGTTAATTAGATTAAACGTGGCCGGTTGCTCTTTGGTCTGAAAACAAAATGCTAACTAACTTGCTTGTCTCAGTGCCACTGTAATCCAGGTGTAGGATTATGCTGGACGTAGCCCGAAGACAGACGCCGCATTGTTTCTCCTGGGAAATAGCACCATTAGGAGAGAGAGTTTCGCCAGAAGCTGTTTTGTCACTGTCACGCAGAGTTGTGACGTGGCTGCACCAGCACGACACATGTGGGCTGAATGAATGGGCAAAATAAAACATTGTTGTGATAATCTGTCCGTAAAGAGATGTGATTGAGTGCCACAGCTTAGAAGCTTTTCTGGGGCTGTCAGCAACATGCCATGAGGAGAACGTTCAGAAAACTGGAGAAAACCTTAGATCTAGAGGTCCATAGCACCCATCATCTCCACAACAATATATATCAAACTTTATTCATTGATTCAAACCCATGGGATTGTGCAGAAAGTTTCAGAGAAATTAAACATGAAGTAAATTTTAAAAAAAAGTGTTCACACTGTTTACTTTAGTAGATATGCCAATGCCACACTGTCAATACTCCATTACAGGTAAAGGTGCTGGATTTTAAATTGTACTTATGCAAAAGTAGAACTGTGCTTTCACCAAAGTGTTCCTATGATGCAGAGTAGCACCTTTCATTATTGTTGTGCATTAATGCATTAAGACACAATCAATAGCTGGTGATTGAGTTGAAGCTCTTTGTTGCTGTTTTATATACAGTTGTGTAGTTTAAGTTACAATACCATCTCATATTTTAGAAAGCCATCGCAGTTTTGTGCCTGAAATCTTAATCTGAAAAACTTAAATGAACTAAAGCAGTCATTTAAATGTAGCACGATAAAAAAAAAAAAGAAATACCTGAGTAAAGTACAAGCAGTAAATGTGCTTTGTCCACCACTGACTATATATACATATATATCAGTATTTACCACCCACAGAATAGTCTGCCCAGTGTCAGTATTTTTCTACATATGGAACAATCCTGTGCTAAACTCACATCCAGAGTAATTTGTGCTGCATCTGAATTTGTACAATAAATGTCTGCAAACAGTTTAAAGCAAACCAAGCTCAGCAAGTGATGGGAGAAGCACCATGGAAGCTGATAATGATGATAAAGTGATGGCAAAGCTATTTTTATTTCCCCATCAATACTCAAGAGAGGGCGACCTCTGTTGGTTATTCATCGCATATTCAAACTGTATTTATTTATTTTTTTAATACACATTGACAGGCTTGAGTACGCTGACAAACAAGTTTACAATTACATTGATTAGATGAAGCAAAAAATAACCCAATAAACCTAATAATCTGGATTTTTTTTTTTTTTTACCATACACTGTATATTAGAGACAGTTGTTATGAACGAATCAGCACTATTTTCCTCAACAACTACACGCATGCGCACTTGGTTCGAGAATCACTCAATATGGCGGCCAAGTGCTACAGCCTGTTGTTGTAGTCGGTAGCAAACACTTAGCCCGCTAATTAGCGACGAACAAACCCATTAACGAACGAGTGGATAGCCGTTAATGAGACTTCGGACTCGTGTTTTAGCGGCAGTGTTGCGGTGTAAACGGAGACAGGCAGAAAAATGAATTACACGACGAAGGTTGTCCAGGTGACGAATGTGTCGCCGAGCACAACGTCGGAGCAGATGAGGACCCTGTTCGGGTTTCTGGGGACCATCGAGGAGCTCAAGTTATTCCCACCAGAGTGAGTTAACGCTCCAATGTAGTATTATTGTACTGATTTACTATGTTAAAAATAATGCCAGTCTAGTCACAGAATAGCTGTATGGTTTTCTAGACAGACGGTATTCCTAAAACGTTAAACGCAGGCCTATGCTAACCTGAATTGTAGCTAACCGGAAGTTAACCTAATGTAGCCAGGTGACGTCACTTTTCATTGACCTACATCTTATACACAGACGTTTATTAAAATGCGGCGCTACTAATGAGTGACAATATTAAATTCTTGACCAATTTGTCCTCTTTATTCTGTTTGTAATAATACCCGAGATTAATCAAAACTATAAGGTCGAAATTCGAATTAGTCGTCTTCCACATAGAGGTTTGATTGTGTCTCAAACTTTCCACAAAGCAGCCCCTCTGTTTATTTACTGTCATGATTTATTGTTGGGAAACTATAAGTTGGTTAGTTTTGTCTCATCAATACTCCAAAACTTTGAGATTTATAATAGGAGCAAATCCACGCTCTTCAGAAGCAGAACCCTGGGTAGAACTAGGCTTTTACTATTATTCTGTTGATCAACTCATCAGTTAATCGACTAATCGTGTTAGGTCTCATTTGACTTCTTATTTTAAAATTCTGCTTACAACTTTTGCTACTCTTGATTGTGACTTGTTGTTGGTTTTATCTCGTTCTGCACATTCTCGCTCATCCTTATTAAATGAGGTTGGGTCATGTGACACAGGACTCTTATTGTGTTTTTCTTTATTTTTGAGAAAATAAGTGTTTTCTATGTATTTTTATGTTTAGATATTTCTATGTATTGTCTTATTTTTTAATGTATTTTTCTATGTATTCCTATTATTATTTCTATTATTCCTGTTGTGTGTTGTTGTTGTTGTTTTTTGTTCTATTTTTACTTGAGACTGTAATGCTTGCTTTTGGTATTTTATTGTCTGGACTCCAGGAAGACTAGCTGATGTCTTGGCATCAGCTAATGGGGATCCTTTTAAATAAATAAACCTACAAAATAATATGTATGGTATAGCTTATAGCATTTATAAGCCAGCTAAGAGCATTGATATCGGCCTTTTATGGGGACTGTATCTTTGAAGACAGTGTTCTTGCTCAAACCCTGCGTAGTGTCTGTGATGTATATCTGTGGTGTGCCAAATCCACATCCACCACAGCACAATGCAATCCATATAGGTGTAATTGGACAACATTAGTTTGTCCAAAAAAAAGACAACAAAAAGATTATTTAGATGATTTTTCTGTAATTTTGTGTGTTTTCATACACATTTTTTGCTCCCCCCACAGTGATTCTCCAATGCCGGTGACGTCGCGGGTCTGCTTTGTGAAGTTCCAGGAGCCAGAGTCGGTCGGCGTGTCCCAACATCTGACTAACACTGTGTTTGTGGACAGAGCCTTGATCGTGGTACCATTTGCTGAAGGTTTGTCTCTTTATTCCAAAGTGTAAGCGCTCCTTGTTGATCGAATGGCATGACTCTTGAATCGTGACAGTGCAAACGAGTAAACGGGATTTTTATCTGTCCCATTTGTGAACTGCACAAGTCAACTCACCCTGGTCTGTTTATTTGAGCTTTTTTTTTTTTAAAGAGAACATGAATGTAACTGGTAATGCCATTCCCTCCCGTTGCCTATAAGAAGTGTTAAAAGCTGACATCTGTTGTCTGACTTTTGGTACACTGTAGTAGCGTATTGCATATCTGTTTTTAGCACCAAAACACAATTCTCTTTATTATTGGGATTTTTACTTCTCTGTAAAAACACACATCAGGCTTTGAATCTATGCCTGAAACAATGATTTGTTTTGCATTTACCAAGTACAGTATACCAAAATCTGCTTCACACACTAGGATTTGAACATTCCCCAGCTGTGGGCGCCGCAGACACCTCAAAGTTCAGAAGTGAAGTAGCTAAAACACTTAACCATATGCATTTTATTTTCTCCCCCCATATTGGACTATCCTCTGTTAAACTTATCTCTGTTATTTGTGTGTGTGTGCGTGTGTGTGATTTTTGTAGTGAAGAAGGCAAAAGCAGCCCCCTCGTTGATGGCTGAAAGTGGTCCTCTGCCTGCCAACAGGGGATTGTAGACATTTGCAAAGGCCAGCAAGCATTCAAGCCCCACCCCTCTCTTTTTGTGTCCTCTATTCTTTCTCTGCCTTGTCTTTCTCTTTCCCTCTGTTTAATTTATCTTTTCTAGGTGGTTCAGTTTAGAATATAAAGGTCATATATCAAGGACAAAACCTTATTCTGCACTATTTTACTATACTTCAGAGCGCGTCCTTCAGTTTATGGCTAAAATACTGTTCCTTCACAGATAAGGCTGGGTGTATTCTTATTTTTTTTTATGTCAACAAGTCCCATGAAGACGAAAACACCACTGCAGTCCAGCTGATGCAGTTTATTTTGAGTTGGAGCCACGGACACCATTCTGCTGTTGTAAATATTCACTTGTGTGTCATTCCACCACACTTACTCCTGTTTGACTAACTGTAGCTGAAATCTACAGAGCTGAGTTGTTGAGGAGAAATCACTAAAACAATTAAATTATATATCTGACCTTAAGATTTTAGTGGTTAAAAAAATGCATTGCATCTGAGAGACGGGGCCCAGAAGTCAAAGCATGAAGAGATTGATTTAGCCTTTTCATGGGATTTGTTAATAGTAATAACATTAAAGTTAATATTCCCAGCCTCACGTATTTTGAAATGGCACCAGTTATTAGTCTGGTGAGAAAATGCGTCAGTAGAAGACAAGGTATAGTCAGTTGTGCAAAAACCACGACGCCCAGGTAGCCTAGTCTGCGCAGGCCAGCTGAAAATTGACTTAATTCTTTTGTGGCTAATCTCTCAGAAAATATGAGCTCAGTTTGGACCCAACAAGGACAACACTAGTCACAGGTGACAGGTGGTCTGATACGATAGATGTATTGACGTAAAACTCCATCTCGTCATAAAGTTTACTGAGATAGCCACCCGACATGACACAATGTTGGTGCAATATTCTCTTTAACAGTGGTTTTCTTTTGTTGTTGTGTTTTACAGTTCTTTTTCCTGGCTCAGCCAGTCCTGTATACCAGGCCCTGCTGAAAATACCATCCAACAGTTTTGTCTCCTGCAGCAATTTCTCTCTCCAGTGTGCTCTTGTATTTAAATGTTGTCACTGTTGTGTGTCCGTATCTAGGTCATGTCTTTTTGTGAAAAAGTTGTTTCGGGAGTGCATTAAGTGTGACATGATTATGGAGTGTTTGTTAATTTGCGCCATTTAAAACTAAAATACGAGGTATATTGCAACTGAAGATGATTTTCAATTGGACTGTGGTAACATAAATGAAACGACCCGTCATCCTCTGTCCAGGTGTGTTTAATTGATGCAGTGACAGGTAAGGATACTAAGATGATGATGTACAGCAGGCACGCTACCTACCCTGAATTTTGTTGCCATTTAGCATATGAACCACTTAAAAATGTGTTTTGGTAAGTAGACACTGATAGCTTGTATAGTGTTCTTGCCAAATCCCTAAAATTCTCTCTGTTGTGTGTATCTCGATTTTTCTCTGTGTGCTTTTAGTAGCGAAGCCGCCAACGTGAGTCGCTTGTTTCAGTAAACGTCTAAATGAAAATTGAGGGCACACCCAACTGGAGAAGCAGCTGTGCTTGCTAACGTTTGGTTCATGACTTAAAAAACACATTCAGGTGATATATTCTTGGCAGTGTTCATTGGAGTAGTGTGATTAATTCCAGCAATAGTTATGTCACTGCAAATGATTATGTTGAAAGTAAAGGGAACTCTTCTGTGATCTAGAAGGTAACCATTTTGTTGAACCTAATTTGAAGAAATGCAGTGTGAAGACTTTTTTTTTTTTGCTGTCTTTTTCCAAAATGTCTTCTCTTGTAGTTGATGTGTGTGAAAGTGTTCGTCCCTCCTAATGCCTGTTTTGTATTTTCCTGTAGGATCTATTCCAGATGAGGCTAAAGCTTTGTCACTGTTGGCGCCAGCAAATGCTGTTGCAGGAATTCTGCCAGGAGGAGGCCTTCTTCCAACGCCTAATCCCATCCCCAATCCACCTGTAAGACCTCAAACTTACCGTTTAGAACAATTTCTCTGACCATCGATAAATGCACAGGATTGTCTAACGCACAACAAACCGAGAACTAAACAAAAACGTGTTTAACAAGATGACGGGAAACAATCTTATGTTTTGGTTCTGATGAAGATGATTGGCTGTTGTTGCAAAGAAACCAGCTGTAGAAATCCATAGAGATATGATCACAGTTACTTTATTTTTGTTCTCAAATTTATTGCACCTCCGGGCGCCCCTATAGCTCACCTAGTTGAGTGGGCGACCCGTGAACAGGGGCTATACTTCCCCGATACAGCAGTCGTGGGTTCGACTCCCGCTCATGACCCTTTGCTGCACCTCTCTCCCCGTTCTCCTCTCCCATTTCCTGTCTGTCTCTACTGCGCTACATAAAGGCAAAAGCCAAAAATATATATCCAGAAATAAAAATTGATTGCACCTCCAAGTCCATCTGGTCGGAGCTTCCGATCATATTAAGCTCTTCCAAACACTGTAGCTGTCACAATTTCCTTGTTTTTTTTTGTTTCTTTACAAGTTGCAAAGTTCATATCAGTGGCTGTACTTACCTCATTGCCTCTTTTTTGCTCTTCTTTTATAAAGTGACAAATTATTCAGATGTACATAAACAGTGATTCTTGGCTACACGTCAAAATGTAGAAATAACACCTGTAAGATGTCAATATCTGGACATTGCATAACAAAATTAGTTGTTTTTTAATTCTAGCTTGGAGCGAACCCCTTCGGCGGTCCGAACATGGATGCAATGGCAGCATTCGGATTCCCTGGACCCAATATGAATCCCCAGGTGAGAGGTTTTCTTAAAGTCACTGCAGTTGTTATTTCCCCAAATGTGCGTAGCTGAATATGTTTTTGATCCAACTCTTGTCTTTACAGGCTGCTGACCAGCTGTTAAAGTTCATGACAGATCCAAAGTAAGTCCGTACTAAGAAGCAGTTTGTGTCAGTGTGTTCGCGGTGATGATGATGAGTCAGCTAATTAATGTTTCTTTGTTCAGACTGAATCCCCTGGCTGCTGGCTTAAACCTGAATCCAGGTCTGAAGGCTGACGCATCCAATAAAGAGATTGAAGAGGCCATGAAGAGAGTCAGAGAGGCCCAGTCGCTCATTTCTGCTGCTATTGAACCTGGACGTGAGTGCACAAAAGTTTGAAGGACTTTGTTGTCAGGATGTTGACTTTGCAGTCGACAGTTATGTCTCATCTGAGTGTCGTAGGGAGCACGTACAATTATGGTGGCATCATTTCTGTATTTGTTTATGTGTATGTTGTTGCAGAGTAAAGTTAAGAAAATCCATTTGTTGTTTTTTTAAATATACTAACTAGTGTCTGGTTTTGCTGTCCTGCAGATAAGGAGAGCAAAAAGAAGCGCTCTCGGTCCCGGTCCAGGTCCAGAAGAAGGCGGTCCAGATCGCGTTCAAGACACAGGTAATTATGACAGTTTATCATCCTACCAGCTGAGACAGAGAGGCCTTTTCTGTATGCTCACAGTAAAGGTGGACGTTCTGAATGTGTGCTTGCAGGCGAACCAGGAGCAGATCAAGGCGCCGGTCAAACTCGAGAAGCCGGAGGCGCTCCAAAAGCCCACGCAGGAGACGCACCCACTCCAGAGACAGAGGCAGGCGATCTCGAAGCAGATCCAGGTGGGTTCACTGTGCGAAAGCTTGACCCCGAGTCTGCCTTTTTAAAAAAAAATAAAACACTGGAGAGCTTGTCTGAGATCTTTGTTTTTTCGTTTCGTTTGTCTACAGAGAGCGAAAGAAAGATGATTCTGGGAGAAGAAGATCCAAAACGCCTCCCAAAAGCTACAGCACAGCCAGGAGGTCACGCAGTGTGAGCCGGTGAGTACAGCCCACGTCGTTAGGAAAAGGTACATTCTGCACAAAGAGGCCAATTTAATACCTGTTTAATAGCCGTACCGGCCAAAGCACAAAGTAAGTCAGACAGCGAGGGCTAGATTAGTTGTTATATCACCTTATAGGTACGGTACTTTCCTAATGATGTAATTAATTAATGTGACCTGGATAAGCAGCAGAGAAAAATCTGCATCCTGCTGCACAATCCAGCATCGGTCCAATCCCACATTTAGTTCATACATGTGTAATGTCTCCCAAGGGCCTGCAGTCACACGCAAGAACGTATCACAGGCTTTAACAGGAAAGAAAAGAAGAATTATATAATGCTACCCTCAGTACGGCCTTATTTGAAGAAACTATATTCCAGTAAGACAGTTCAAGACATGCAGACGTCCTGTGTGCTCACAAACAAGTCAGGCTTTTAAGTCTCAGGTCTTTGTCCGGTTCTGCTGCACAGGAGACGCAGGAGAAGTCGCAGCATCAGCCGATCTCCCAAGAAGTCCCCCAAAAGGAGAAGCTCTCGATCTCCGTCCCCTCGAAGGTCGGTGTGCTGAGGTTGCACTGCATGCATATTATTATAGTTATCTAATAAGTATTTACAAAATAACAGATCCCTTGTGTCAGACTGTTCATGTAAATATTCTGAAATTTGTGTTTTTCTTATTTATATTGTGTATATATAGTGTTTATACCTCCTCTTTAATTTACAGTTGTGTTTTTCCTGCTTTTCTGTCACTTTGCTGCTGTGGCGTTGCACATTTCCATGTTTCCTAAAGGATACTCTTTTCTATTGTCTTTCTAATTTACTTTTCTTCCTCCATCCTGTGCAGACACAAGAAGGAAAAGAGGAGGGATAAGGAAAGGGAACGCGATCGCAGGAGTGACAAAGAGCGCGTCCGTGATGAACGGGAGCGCTCCCCCAGCAAGAAAAAGAAAAGCAAAGACAAAGAACGGGAGCGTGAAAGGAAATCGGATGGAGAGAAGGGAGACGTTAAGGTCGGTGTGTTAAAAGTGTTGACTCTTAGGCACCGTGAGCCTCTCTGTTATGCAGAGTTTGTACCTTTTAAAATGTCACATCTGTTGGTTTCCTTCCACAGATCACGAGGGATTACGACGAAGAAGAACAAGGCTACGACAGCGAGAAGGAGAGGAAGGATTCAGACGACTCCGCTCTGTCTCCTCAGTCAGTGGAGGGCAACGGCACAGCGCGGCTCGCGAAGCACGCCAAAGTAAACGGCGCCGACGATCACCACGAAGAGGACATGGACGTCAGCGACTGATTTGTCCGCCCGGCTCCGTCCCACACTATCCCTCCGTTTTGGTTGTGAACATGTTATTACTTTTTCCCAAATGGGGTAACTCTAAAATGTGAAGTGTTTGAAATGTATAAGTTTATCTCTCAGAAGAGAAGTTTTGCTCTTTTTGCAAATGTATACTGCAGAGTTGTTTGCCCGAGGATACTCTCCTGGTTTGTCACATCACTTTGAATCTTCTTTTTCCTCTTTGCCACTACAGATGTACTCTGACTGGAAGTAGGCTTGCTTTGGTTATACGAGTTCTGTCTCTTCTTCACGTATCGTGTCTTTTCATTATCGTTTTGTGTTGTGCTGTGATGCTCAGGCCTCTCTGCCCACCTTCTCCATACGGTTACTGCATTTAGCTTCTTGTTATCTTAAAGTGCTGATTGTTTTATCAAGGATTTCTTTTATATAATAAAGCCTATTAGGAGAACTACGATGTTGGAATTCATACTTT